CAAAAACCACAGAAAAACAACATGTAAGCTCTAGAATGGACAGAGACAACTTGCTGCCTGATCAGTCACCCAAAGTTCATTTGTAATGGTCTATCTTTGGCCTATAGGCCATAGTGTTTCTGACAGACTCCAGCCTCACAGGAAACTTTAAACTGTCTGCCTGTATTGGCAATTTGTCAGTCACTTTTCTCTGTGTCCTTCAGAATGTATGGCAGACTTTTCCATAAAATAGGAACCCTGTAACAATGTCCATTTTGTTTCAACAGTCACTTTCCTGTGAGTCCTGTATGTCCATTTCATACAGCATAAAGTCAATCAATACAGACAACAGCAGCTTCTTGCCCAAATGGCTAATCTTGTCATATTGGAAATAAATCCTATAATGAGTATCTTTGATGTCCATCTACCTTTGTGACAGAGGTAGTGTTGCCAGGAGCAGTTATGTCTTGTTGTCAAGAAAAACTCTAAAACATTTTAAATGCCATAGTCTGTAGGTATTTGAAAGGTTTGAAGAATGCCTATTCATTTGAAATACATTTCTATACTTCTAGAAAAACCTAAGTGACCTAATTGTAAGTTTTGACTATTAAAGGTAACTATGTATAATTTGTACTTAATTATACATTATATTTTAAAATGAACTATACAAACACAATACCTAAACGAGGACACACACACACACACACACACACACACACACACACACACACATATATATATAGATATATATATCACAAAATTGACCATAATTTTACCAATAAATGAAAAAACATTTCAAAACAAAGTATTCATTTCTATACGATAATCCCTCTTTTACCTTTAAAAAGAGATTGGTAGTGATCATTAACCATTTATAACCAACCCAATTTGAATGAAAACAAACAATATTTGGGAATATGAGTGTTGTTCTCTCTAAACTACTTCCTGTTGATTGGGGGTGCTGTTTATACCATGAAGATCATGACAAAACCCAGAAACTTGGCCAAGTCCTAGTTTTTTTGTAGTCTGCAAGGCTGTAGCATCTTAGCTCTTTTCGGTGCTGGATCACCTGGGGCACTGTTTTATGGGCTCTTGCTTCATCAATCCATATTAGTCTAGAAGGAATCCTTAGCTTCACATTTTCTTTGGAGGCACAAGCAAAATCTTTTTTCTCAAGAACCTGTCCTTATACTTACATTTGGAAGTCAAGGCATTTTAAAAATATATACATTGGATTAATCTAGGAGCATTTGTTTTAGTAGTTGTTGCTATTTCTTCACCAGTCAAACAATTTAAGGACAACACAATAGCATACAGTGCTATTGATGTTCCCGCCTGGTTCCACGCCCTCCTCAGAGCTCTAAATAACTCACAAGATGCTGTATTAATTGTAGTGCTGTTGGCCAATGTCTAGAGCTTCTTATTGGCTAGTTTTGTTTTAATTATTAACCCATAATTACTAATATATTTATTTCTACATGGTCTTATCTTACTGAGAATGCCAAATTCATGTGCCTTCTCCTCCCAAGATCTTGTTGCCACTACTCCTCTCTTCTACCTCCCCCAGAATCCTCCTTGTCTCCTAGTCCTGCCTACCTTGCTTCCCTATTGATCAACATTGTATTATTCATCAACTAATAAAAGAAACATATGTACAAAAGACTTCCCCATCAGGGTCTGGCATGGTATGAGTTTTGAGTGGGGAAACCCCACTGTATCTAGTGTAGTGTGAATGCTTCATGGGAAAATCCTCACTGCACAATTTACTTGAATATCATAACGAATATGATTTTTATATGGAAATGAAACATAGAGATGTGAGACTGGCTGATGAAAACAAGAAAGTTTTTTGCACTATATGCACATACATTCTGTCTGTGGAAAAAACAGTCTGATGATTAAAGCAGACAATTATGTCCCTATGTCGAAGGTTAGGTCTGAGTTCCTTGGTCATGTAGCTTATAGAATTAATCTCTGGTAAGCATGTTGAGAAATCAAGTTGTGAAAGGAAATATGACTCTTGTGTGTGTTAAGAAAAATAGATGGTTAGGTAGACGACTTCACTAAGGTTCTGTAGAATAAAATAGAAATAAACATCTGCTACACTATAACCACAAGCAGCTGCCTGCCAGCACAAAGGAAACTGTGACATAAACTTGACAAGCTTAAAGCTTAGTCTGCCAATAATCAAAAATCATCGCTTTGGAGTGAAGATGTCATGACTGAAAATTAATATAAAGGAGATGTTTATTTACATGTGGGTGTCTAATAAAACATGTAACTGTGATCATATTGTGATTTATTCATGTGTTAGATTTTAATTTGTTTTTGGAAAATAAGTAACTTGCAGTTGTGAGATGGTTTCCTTCTTGCATAGAGATTTTTGTCTTAGGTGGTATAAAATCATTAAGATAAAAATAAAGACAGGGATATTAAGTTTTACCCCTCAGCAAAGTCTTCTGTGTATGTTTAGCCCCTACATCATACCTCATGTCTAGTTTCTCTGAGCTACAGGAGCTGTACTCCAGCAGTGTATAATTATAAATATTTAGAATACAGGTAGAACCTACATTGATTTAGTAATGTGGTTGAAGAAGGTTCTCCTCTAGGTTCTAGGACATCACCAGCCATGGGTAGTTAACTAGGTTTACACAATTGCACCTAAATCCATTGCTATTCAGCACCCCTAAATTCAAGAAGGCATACATTAGTTTCCACAAAGATAAAAAATGCTGCTATTGCACACTTGTGAACATCTTGCCATGGTGGTCATTGTTTTGGTTCATAGTCTTTATACAACTTCTTAGGATTATTTAATGCTCTTCTTCATTGGAATCTTACATGAAACTTCATATACTATAGAAACTCATCCTTAGGGAAGAGTATTCAGGTCAGTTCTAGCTAAATATCCCCAATTCCTGTCCTAAGAAAAGGGATCTTACCTTCAAATTGTATGAGGGAAATAAATGCCAATGGCAATAGCCTGTTTTTTTGCAGAAGACTCTGGAAGCCCCTAACTAACAACTTGAAGGGAGGTTTCCCAGGCCTGGAATGGAGTTTTATTAGATTGGGCCTTCATTCATTATAGGTTTGACAGGCACTCTTCTGAGAGATCAGTTCTATGATGTACTGTTAAAGTAAGTTTTGTAGTTTAAATAATGTTGTTTGGTCTTCTATTTTGCCCCCTAATAATTAGGATAGCAAATACTACTTTGTTGTTATTTGTGAACAAAAATATGAATCTTTTTTGATAGACACTGTGGTCCTTGATTTCAGATCTTTCTTCCTTTAGAGAGAGATAAATGTGAGTACTAGAAGATTTTCCTTTAAACCAGCATTTTGATTCTAGAATTATGATGGATCAAAAACTTGGCTTCCTTTCCCACATTGCAGAAGAATTATCAGAGAATTTAATTCTGATTTAGATGAGTGAAGACACCATGTCCTCAGGATTTAATCAGAGTGCAGTGGCCTATAAAAGTAGACACAAAGGGGAACTCTTTTTCTGACCAGGCTATCTCTTACATGGTGTAGCAATCCGCAGGAGCTGGCTCCCGGGCATCATCTTGAGAGTTCCAACAGGTGTTTCCTGCGCAGCTTTGCTAAGTGAATGCTGTTGGGGAGTGTGAAGGTTTCAGAGAGATAGCCCCATAGGCTCATATATCTGAATGTTTGGTCCTGAGCTGGTGGTCTGTTTAGGAATGATCAGTAGGTGTGGCCTTGTCAGAAGAGGTGTGCCACTGGTGGTAGGCTTTGGAATCTCAAAGTCCAAGGCAGACCCAGTCTCTCACTCTCCCAGTCTCTTGTTAGTCAGATGTAAGCTCTCACCTTCTGCTTCAAGGACATGCCTGACTGTTTGCTACTATTCTACTATGTTCTCAACCATGATCATCATTGCTCAACCTCTGAAACTGTAAACAAGCTGGCAAATAAATGCTCTTTTCCATAAGGTGTCTCGATCATGGTGTCTCTTACAGCAATAGAACAGTTATAGCCCAGAAGTTAACCTAAACTCTCTGAAATATGGACTAAGGAGAGGAGGATTCTAAAGTTGTGGAATGAGAGTGAACCATATTTTTAAAGACTTCAGTCTATGTTCCTCATTTAGTCATAAATTTGTGAGGGAAGAGCAGAAGACTGATGAAAATTTTAAATCACTAAGCTTTGTAAGAAACCTCAGTAGAGATAAATCTCACGTCTTGAATCTCCTGGAGCTGTTGTCTGTGAGAGGTCTTCCAATTAGTGAGAGAACTGTATTTCTAGGGATCAAAGCTTGCATTATCTCTGGAAATGACTTCAACCCTATCTTGTCAGAAAATCCACAGATTCCTAGGCTTCTAGGAATTTGACCTGAGTTTTGTTGCTGTTTTTCAGAAGACTCTGTAAACCCCACATAGAGAAGTCACCATCCCTCCCTCACAGGGCCACTCCCCTCCGCCCTCCTGCACCTTGGTTTGTGTGCAGCTTCCCCTGCATCTCCCTCACTGTGTCACTCAGAGCACAGTAGTACAGGGCAGAGTCTGCCAGCTGCACTGAGGACTTCTGCAGGTGGAAGGAGCTGCGGCTCTTATGGAGGGTGGCGTGGAACCCTTGCTGCTCTGTCCTCTTGTTGTCTGTGAGGCTCTTCAGGAGGAGCTGAGGGGTTTTATTGAGATATTGTATGTACCAGAAAACCACAGGAGCTGAATCAGTAGTCTGATAAGTGCAGTTCAGCATCAACGGTGACCCCTCTGTGACCGTAACCAGGTCCCCTGTCTGGGTCACTAAGTCTCCATTGGTTTTTCCTGAAAATCAATCAATAAGAAGGAATCACTTTTCTATGTGGGGAAGAAGGTAAAGACTCCCACAGCTGTAAGAAAATTTCATCATCAACACGTAGGTAAATGTAACTCACTGAATATCAAGAAGATCAGCAGAACTGAGCAGGTGTCAAGAAGCATGTTCTCAGAAGACAGTGACACTTGGTTCTTGAGTTCACCAAACTCACAGAACAAGTCTCCTCAGAACCTTATTGCAACTCCTCACTCATAAACAAGGACCTCCTTCTGCACAGTGACAGTCTGTCTTGTGAAGCCATCACCTGATGAGACATTAACCACATCTGAAGAGGCAGTGCCCTCTGCTGGTTTCCCCTCAATCTGAACCACAGATGTCTGCAAAACACATTGTGAATAAACTGGAAACCTTTCCCAAATGAGTGAGTCTCAGGTCCACAGTGAATGCCTGCACCAGGATTACTGAATTATGTGTATCCTGTGTTATTTAAGGTGATGAATGTACATAAAAGAATACACTCACGCACACAGAGAGAGAGGAAGAGAGAGATAGCGAGCCCTCATATAATTTATTTACTTTTTCCTCATTTTATTGTTTTTGAGAATGTTGTGCGATGCATTTTTATTATCCTCCCCTGATCCCTCTGCTCCTTATAGATGCACCCACTGTTCATTACCAACCCAGTTTTGTGCCACCCCCCCCCCCACAATAAATAAACTCTGGTTGACATTACAGGTTGTAGTGCCCAAATATTCTTAGATGTAAAACCTTAAGAGGAGAGGTATATATATATATATATATATATATATATATATATATATATATATATATATATATATCCAGGTCTGCACCATTAAAGAAACCTAAATCTCCTTCCCAGCTGCTACCATCTGCCAATAGCTTCTTAGCTAAGTGTGGGAATGCCCAGCTTCCCTCTTCTTACTGGAACTGTGTCTGGCTTGATCCTTTGCAAGTCTTATGTATGCAGTATATCTCTGTGAGTTCATGTGTGCAGTTGCCCTGCTGTACCCAGAAGATGCTGTCTCCTTGTAGTCATCACCCACCTATGGCTCTCACAGTCTTTCCACTCCTTCTTCTTCAGTGACCTCTGACCTTGGGAAGATGGTGTGTGATAGAATTGTCCAATCTGGGGCTGACTGTGCTATAGCCTTTTCTCCGCAGCACAGTGATTTCTGGGTCCTTGACAATCACCACATGTTGCATCAAGAAGCTTCTCTGAAAAAGACTGACTGATGAACCAATGTGAGTTTATAGCAAAAATTTATTAGGAGTTGATCTAATAATGCATCCATTTATCAGAGTAATAGTCATGGGTTCTCTCTGAGGGTTTATGACTTGTCTAGTCACAAGTTCTTAGTCCCCAAAATGGTGCCACATATGGGTTCCAGCTTATGAAGTAGACCTTAAATTGAATCAGAAGTTAGTTGGTTACTCCCATGACATTTGTGCCACTATTGAGCTAATGGACACATCTGCAACACTGTGGTTGTGGCTCATGGGGTTCAGAAACCAGAAAGACTGACAATTCATCTTTTCCTCCAGCAGGATACATAGCACATTCTAGCACTATGAAAGCTATCCACTAAGCATGACGTGTCAAGGGGAGTATCAGTTTAGTTTCTCCATCTTCGTTGACTTATTAAATAGGTTCTTACCATCAAGTTTCAAAGGGTGATCAACAGTATTTACAATAACTCATGATAAAGAGAAGTATATGGGCCAACCTAGTAAACAGGAAATAATCTACTCCTGGCACTTAGCTTTTTATTTGTTAACATGTGTTATCTAATAATGGCATTGTTGCCCCATTACAGGGTAATTCAACTGAAACTCTTTATGTGCATGTGTGTGTGTACTAATGGAGCCAGAGTGGTCACTGAATCCCCTAGGACAAGACATACATGATGTGAGCTGACGCAGGAGTGTTGGGGACTGAATTGTTTTATCCAAGAACAGTGCATGCTCTTAGTCACGAAACAAACTCTCCAGTCCCAACCAGGGATAATTAATGAGGCAAATTATTAATATGCTTTCTAGGGAAGGTATAGAACAGAGCAAATCATCCCAACTGTGTCAGCATGGGATGTAGGCAGAGGTGCAGCTTTGGCATAAACATGTCCTAATTAGGCCTTGAAATTGTACAGGTCTAGCAGTAGCAGGAGGCCTATTGATGGTGAAATGACTCACCAGCCCTGTTTTATATTGTCAAGCTTCACTCAACAGGGTGAAGAAGTTTATAAGTTTTGTTAAGGATGAGGCCCCTCCCCTTTATCTGCCTGCCTATCAGTAAATATATTTAACTCTTGGTCCCTCTTGTCAATGGCAATATTTACTTTTCCACTGTTTCTCTGTCATATTTAAATTTACTATGACTAGCAGTGCAAGGCCTCTGCCTGAATCCTGTATGGCCTGTTGTAGAACAGATATGGATGTTTTGTGACTGCAGCTCTTGGTGAAATTTTCAGCTTCCTAGATGCTTGAGGCCTGAGGATTCTCTTCTCCTTATAGGCTGTTCACCTCTAGACAGAGACACAGGCTAGAGAGCAGAAGTCAACTTTCCAAGTGCATTTCCGTATTATCAAGAAGATCTGCCCTCTTCAATGATGCAACCTCTAAATGTAGATGTCCGTATTCCCATTACTAATAGAGAGAAATCACCAGCTGTTTGTAGTCATATAGTCACCAGAACTCCAAGAATTTGTACATTCTCTGTTTTATCACAGGGGATTAGGGTCTGGACCCTGATTTGGAGCTGTTTCTAAAAAAGAAAAGTTACTTTTCTCTGCTGAGTGTGTATCTAGTTTTTTGTTTTTTTTTCCAAAGCCATGGCTTTTAAAATAACTAGCCAGAGGAAAAGCTCAGTACACACACACACACACACACACACACACACACACACACACACACACACACACACGGCAACAGGGAGGGGTGGCAGGGCTGAAAACCAAGTACCACCATCTTGCCATCTATCATCTGGTGTTTGCTACCTGATATTGCAATTTGACATGGTATGAGATATCTGAGGGTCCAGAGCTAATTCAGAAGAAATTACAAAGCTTTTCCATTATTTTCCCTGTCTTAGAACAGATTAAGAGCTAACAGTTCAAATCATTAAGACATAAATGAGGAAAGAGTTTTATATAGATCCCGGGAATACAGAGCTTGGGGCTTTGCTTTGTTGGTTGATTGAATGTTTTCTAGTTTTTTGTTTTGTTTTGTTTTATTTTTTTTTAATTTTTATTTTTTGGTGGCAGGTCCTTTCACAACCCAGTTGCACATGACCAATGGACCTGATTCCATACACCGACTTTCACTAAAGATTGACCTAGGATAGTGATCTGAGTTTGTGTTCTCCTATCAATGAAGGTAAAAGATGTGAACTCTTGTGTGTGCAAAGCCAAGGCAATCTTTATTAAGAGAGCAATAGGAGAGTGAGGAATTAAGGAACAGTGAGAGAAATTTTGGAGAGAGAAAGATTTCAGAGAGGAGAGAGCTGTCAACCTCCTTGTCTAGAGTCTTTATAGGGCAATGGAAAATATTTGACCACTGCTGATAAAATTGGATGTAATTATTTTGGGATTGCTAAGTTTTTTGGGTATTCACAGGTTGAACCAATGGAAGCTAGGCATGTCCCATGTTGAGAGATGATCATGTGATATTCAGGTACTGCCCACCCAATTAGAGATGGTTTAAGTCTTCTTCTAACCACCTCTCACTTGGGCTTTCTTGAATGCTGACCTTGGCTGCCTTATAGCTGATAATCATAGACTGGAATTGATTCTTCTGCCTTTCAGGCATCTCTAGTGCTGGTAAATATATTAAACTTGTATCCTCATAGACAGCAAGAAATATCTTTGTGAAGCACAGAGAATATTGTGAGACTGCAAAAAGAAAATTGAGTTGAATCTGCACAGAGTTCAGCAAGGTGAAACCTCATGGAAACCAAAATATACATGAAAACTTTGACACAGGCTCCAAGCAGTACAAAGGATTCTGCCATGGGATCAGCAGGGCCAGGGCCAGTGTTTTCACCTGGATCCCTAAAGAAATTCACAGAGGAAAGTGAAGATCTGAGAATCCATCCACGGTGCAATTGTCTTGAACCAACACTGATAATCTGATCATCCAAATGTAGAGTCCAAGTTTTTTTCCAGCTGCAAAGAAGAAATGTGATTGAGTTCAAACAAGAGCCAGCAATCAGATCAGTGTTACTCTTAACCTTGGTCAAAGTTTTCTTTTCAGTGAGTTGATGCAGAGATGCACAGCCACCCAATGTATTGAGAATAAGGGTTGAGTGTCCAAACTTAAATGGGATATCTGTATCAGCCCTCCCAAAGCTAGGAAAACATAAGAAACAAGTGGACTGAAAACATGTAGACTCCTAAGGATAAGGAGAATGTTCAACGTGCTGAGAAAAAGAGAGTTGAGTGCTCAGCCATAGATGAAACACCTCTACCAGCTCTCCACCCCAGCAAATCTTAGGCAACATCTTGGAAGAAATGTGAAAAACAAAACAAAACCATAAATTCTAGAAGATGGGGAGGAGATTTTCAAGACTGTGGTTACTTGTACCAGACATGCACAAATCAAGAGAGCTTAAAATTCAAGCATGGAAGTGAAAGGTTCGTCTGAGGTTCCTGTGCTTACAGGACAATTGATGGCTGTTGGCACAGGAGAGTCATTTTTCTTTAGGAAGGTGGCCACTTTAGGATGCTCATGTAACAGTACATGATTCCACACCCATAAGCATAGAGGCAACACTAATAGGATTCAGTATGTTATGGGGGGAAAGGATGAGAAGGAATAGGAGACATGAAGTTTAAAGACCTGTGTATTCGGGATGAGATATTTTCATAAACTAAACATCTTTCAAATAGAGCATGCTCCAGTTCAGGCCTTGCTGGGTCCCAGTGGTTTGGGTACAGGCTGCAGGTGACTGGGGAGCACTGTGTGTTCACTGCACACAGGTAGACAGCTGAGTCATTGGGCTGGGAGTCTCTGATGTGCAGAGAAACATGCAGGCTGCCTTTATTGAGGTGAACTGTGAATCTGCCTTCTTCCTTTTCACCATTGGAGAAGATGGACATGAGAAACTCAGGGCCTTTCCCAGGATGCTGTCTGTACCACGAGAAGTACTGGGAAGCACTATCGCTGAAAGTGCAGTTGAGAGAGGCCATGGCTCCCCCTGGGACACTGAGAGATTCAGGAGTCTGCTGCACCTTCTGCTGGCTGCTCACACCTGTGCAGAAAGACAATGGTCAGACACACAGGAGTGGATGCATATGGAGGCTTATACCCTAAAATGGCATTTCCATGGGCCTCCAAGGCTTAACTAGAAATGAAAACATCTGTGTTTCTAACTCTATTCTAAAGTAGACAACAACTTCACATATGACACCTTATATCCAGAAGAGATGCCCAAACTCACAATTATACTGCAGCCACAGGAACACCAGTGAAACCCTCCAGAATTTCATCATTTTCCCTTCTGTCTTCACTGAGGATCCAGAGTTTAATTCTAGAAAAAAAAATAGTTTCACATTTGTAATGCTTCCCCTTCAGGAAACATCAAGACTCTGTGCCACCAAGTAGGAAACAAAGCTCTTTTCACCAGCAAACCCCTCCCACCAAACTCTCTCACTCAAAACAACTTGAGAGGTTCCCCATGTCTCTGAGAAGAGACTGCCATCTGGTGGATACTTACAGTGACAAAACATTTAATAAAAATAAACACCCTTTTTTAAAAAAATAAAAATATTATCTACATACCAATCCCAGTTCCCTCTCCCTTCCATTATCCCACTCCCCCCCACTTTTTCTCCATCCCATCCTGCATCCACTTCTCAGAGAGGACAAAGCTTCCCATGGGGAATTACACATCTGTCACATCACTTGAGACAGGACCAAGGTCCTTAGCTGTATCTAGGCTGATCAAAATACCCATAGGAGATGGGCTTCAAAAAGCCAGTCCATGGACTAGGGATAAATACTGGTTCCACTGCTAGTGGCCCCACAAAGTGCCCAAGGCACTCAACTGTCACCCACATTCAGAGGATCTAGTTTGCTCTTATGCAGGTTCTCCAGCTATCAGTCCAGAGTCAATGAGCACCCAACTGCTCTGGTTATCTGATTCTGTGGGTTTACCCATCATGATCTTAAGCCCGTTGCTCACACCAATCCTCTCTACAACTTGACTCCAGGAATTCGGCCCAGTGCTTAGCTGTGGATTCTCCATCTGCTTCCATCAGTTACTGGATGAATGTTCAATGATAGCAATTAAGGTAGTCATCAATCTGATTATAGAAGGGCAGTTAAGATACCCTCTCCATGAAGGAGCAAGGAGGGGAGGAACAGACAAGAGAAAAGAGAGAGAAAGAGAGAGACAAAGAGAGAGAGATACCATGAAAGAGGGAGCCATTATAGGTTTGAGGAGAAAACTGAACCTAGAGAAATGTGAAGAGACCTGTAAGACTGACCCCAACTAACAATTTGAGCAACACTGGAAAGGCTAACCATAAATGCCCTTCTCTGATAATGAGACTGGTGACTAACTTATCCACCATTATAGAGCCCTCATATAGTAGCTGATGGAAGCAGAGTCAGACACCCACAGCTAAACACTGAGCAGAATCCAGATGCAGAGGGGTACGACAAGATCAGGCCACAGACCTGCACAAGGAGGAGCTAGCGGGCCCCCAGACTGATAGTTGGGAATCCAGCATTGAACCAACTCAGATCCCCTGGACATGGGTCTCAGTTAGATGGTCTGGGCATTCTAAGGGACCTCTGACTAAGGGAACCAGGATGTATCCCTGGTGTACAAAAGGACTTTGGGAGCACATTCCCCATGGAGGGATACTCCCTTAACCTACAGGCAGGAGGGAGAGCCTAGTCCCTACTCCAACTAACTTGACAGATTTTGAGGACCCCTCCTGGAAGAAATCACCCTACCTGTGGAGTGGGGGGGGTGCAATGGGAGAGTGGTCGGGCCAAGGAAGGGTGGGACAGAAAGAGGGAGGAAGGGAGAGGGAACTGGGATCAATATGTAAAATAAGAAAAAAAATACCCTCTCCACTACTGCTTAGATTCTTAGCTTGGATCATCCTTATGCATTGATGGGGATTTGCCTAGTGCTAGGTTTCTCAACAACCCCATAAAACTCCCCCTATCAAGATATACTCATTCCTTGCCCCCCCTTTTCTTCCCTGAACTAGACTTTCCCGATCCCTCATATTCTCCCCACTCAAGCTCTTCTCCACTCCCTACTCTCCTATCACCCTTGCTCCATCCTCATGCTCCAAATTTACTTAGGAGATGTCTATTTCCCCTTACCAGGGGTGGGGGGTGGTGGTGATCCGTAAATGTGTCTCTTGGGATCTTCCTTGTTGCCTAGTTTTCTGGGGTTGTGAATAATATGCTGGTTTGATACAAGCAGTTTTCCCTCTAGCGTGGTTCCACAGCCACATCTGCTTCAAATAACAGAGGTGCTGTATTAGATATAAAGCTATTGGCCTGTTAATAGTGTTTCTTATTGGTTAGCTCTGTCTTAAATATTAATCAATTTCTATTAATCTAAATATTTCCACATGGTCTTATCTTACCAGAGAGAGGGTCCGGACCTCTTTCTCTCAAATCTCTACATCTTGACACTTCCCTCCTACATCTCCCAGAATCCTCCTTGTCTCCTAGTCCCACCTATCTTGCTTTCCTATTGGCCAACAGGGCTTTGTTCATTAACCAATAAAAGAAATATATTTACAGAATAACATCTCCAATCACTGGTTATCCTTTGTTTTATGTTCAATGTCCACCTATGAGTAAGTACACACCTTTTTTTCTTTTTGTGTCTAGAGTAGAGGAGAGAGGTGAACTGAGGTTGGTATCTAAAATGAATAAATTATTTTAAAAAATGGGATCAACTAAATAAGACCTGCAAAATGAGATTGCCAACTGACATATCAACACACATATGAAAAATCTCATAAGGTCCTTCCTATTTGATTGTTGAAAGAGGGGAAATCAAATTTCCCTAGAGATAAAACTTTTGATTGGCTATCCAATTCCAAGAGATCACTCTATACACATGCACATAGGAGCAACACTAAATGGACTTAGACAGATGTGTGTGTGTGTGTGTGTGTGTGTGTGTAACAGTAATTAAAGAAGAAGACATGAATTTAGAGATGCAGTAAGAAAATGTGGGAGGAGTTAAAGGAAGATCAAGTAGAAATTATGTAAGTATTGTACACATGTATGGAATTCTCAAAATGTTTAAATTAGAATTAATAATTACTCTCGGAAAAAGGTTAACACAGGAAAGAAGGAAGACTGGATAATTTTCCTTACTTTAATTTTATCTAAGGAACATGGATTGTGCCAAAATGCCAAAGCAATATGTGGGGTAGAGGTGGGGATTCTACAGGTCTTCTGAAGAACTGTACCCAGTATGGCCAGATGTGTTTTAGATTCTCTCCTCAGCTCATTAGCACACACACATTCTTAGGAGTGTTTTCCTTCTTAATAAGCTAATTCTCTTTCCATTTTTAGGTATGTAACTCTGGTGCAAGCCTTTTTCCTGGGACACAGAACTATGATATTGGCTGCTATCTGCATGCAGATCTATGGCTTAGCATTTCTAAACAAATTTCCTTGACATTCTCCACTTTCTTATTTCTCTGACCTCTGTGGTGACTGAAAAGGCTAATATTTCTCTACTTTCTCACCTAAAGATGGCTGTCAGACTTTTAATTTTCTGCCTTTCTATATTGTTGTTTTTCTCTCAAAGAAATCTATTAAAATTGTTCTCAAGCTTTCTTTTCAAATTGTTTTAAAGTAGTCTTTCTAATGAGATTAATAAGCCCCAAAGGGAAATTTTGTTCCATGGTCAGTGTTACATACTACTCTGTCCCTTGTATCTTCTTGAAGCCTCTAGGAGCAGGTTTTGGTGCTGGATGTAAGTATCTGTGGAGCAAGGAGCACCTACCACACAGATGTAGGAGGCAATGTTCTCTACTGGGGAGGCTGTGATATGCAGGGTGCTTTTGCTGAGCATTTGTATTCACAGTTCCTGAGTATGTTCCATTTGACTTTTTGTTCTCTCTTTGAATCATGACTGCCAGGGACACAAGACCTCTATCTGTGTCTTGTCTGTACCACCTGAAGTTTTTAACAGTGTAATTGCATTGATGGAGCTCTCTCCCTGCAGGACAGCCAGGGAATGGGGACTCTGCTCCACTTGGGTCTTACCTGCAACCCCTATTCAGAAAACAGAGTGAAATTCAGAAATCAACCATCCACACTTAGTGTTTATATCCTTTACTCTCCATGTGAATCTTGGGTGACCTAGGAACAGGCATATTTTGCTCTCTACACCCATCCCAAAGAATTACATCCCCGTCCCATCCCCCATCCACTACCCAGGGAGGGTGAGGCCTTCAATGAGGGATAATCAAAGTCTTTCAAATCATTTGGCTTAGGGCCTAGGCCCTCCCCTGTGTCTCTAGGCTAAGGAGCTATCCATCCATGGGAAATGGGCCCCAGAATTCTGTTCCTGTACTTGGGATACATCCTGGTTCCATTGTCAGGGGTACCATATACATCCCAGGCCTTCTGTCTGAGACCCATATCCAGGGGGTGTGGGTCAGTCTCATACTGGTTCCCCAGCTATCAGTCTGAGGTTCATGAGCTCCACCTTGTTCAGTTCATCTGATTCCATGGGTTTCTCCAGCGGGTACTTTTACCACCAGAACTGAGAGCTGTGCTCAGTGCCTTGGTCTATGCTGGCATCATGAGCATGCTGGCACGTTGGAGATGTGGTCACTGCCATTGCCAGCTCTCATACACACCATATAGTTGTTAGCAGAGCTCTTTAAAAACCTTGTGGGTTTTTGCCGCTTATGCTGAGTCAGGAAATCTCCCTTAAAGGAGCTGCACAAGTCTCTGCTTGACTCTAGCAAAACAGAGTACAACCAAAAAACTGCTGCTACCAACAAGTCTTGCTTGTCTCTGTTCTTTTGTTTTTAAAATCCCTTTTTAAGCCTTTGTCAAGTATTAAATGTACGTTCTCAGCCCCACGTTGGGTGCCATTTTTGTTATGAGTTATTTTTCCTCCACTGGTCTGGTCCTACCACTGTGCCAGCCACAAATAACACACAGTGCAGTCCGGGGACAAGGCTGGCAGGGAAACCTACTCTAGTAATGTTGCCTGATAAATCAAAAGGAAACTAGAATAATCCACTCATACAAGACAAAACAGAGTTGTGGGAGAGAGTTACAAGAGGCAGAGACAGTATGATCACTGCTTTGGTGACAGTGTGGTTAGGCCAGATTGTTAATCTAACACTAAATCTCACTGTAAAATAGATGGATTTCCTGTGATCATTTGAAGGATTTAAGAGGAAAATGACAGTTGGGCATAGTGACTTGTGCCTTTAATGTCAACACCTGCAACGCAGAGGCAGGTGTATCTTTGTGAGTTTGAGGCAAGCCTGATCTACAGAGAGTTCCTGAATAG